CCCCCCCCATCCCCAGAAAATGTTAGAATAACTATTAACTACCTAAGACCATCTGGGTCTCTGCTCTGATTCACATCAACCAAACTACCAATCTTGCTGGTTGTGAACGAGATATGCTCATCACCTAGATTAGACAATTCAGATAAAAATGTTTAGCTTAAATTAAGATTGTCTGTCTGTCTGTTTGTTTGTTTATCCAATAAACGTAAAAACGGCTAAACCGATCAGGTTCAATTATTTTATGGTAATGCATAAGAAGGTTAGTGACCGGTTAAATTTTAAAAATAAAATAATAATTCTTTTATTAGACCGTAGGAAATTTACAAATGGAAACAGAATTTTTTTAATTTCTGTTACTGCTTTCAAATGTACGAAGAAGAAAGACTTGCAGAAAGCTCAGCATCAAAAATCTAAAATTATTAATGAAAAGAGTGGCGCAAAGTGTCCTTAAAGCATAGGTTATATATACATTTTCATTAATAGATAATAAATACCGATAACAATCTCCAACTCCTGCCTCCCGACTCTGTCAGGCTGAGGCCACAGAGCATCATCTTCAGCCATAATCTTAATTAATATTAATCCATTAACAAAATAAATAATTATAAGCATTAATTCCTGAGTGTCAAATCGAAAATCGTGATTTCAAAAATCCAAAAAATACGTTATTTACATTATACATGGGATAAGCGTGAAAGTAACTAATAAACATAAGAAAAATATCGCTCTATAACCAAGGCAAATGTGATGAATATCATACTTTAAGTCTATTAGAAAAAACTTTAAAAACTTAAATACAACTTCATAATTAATTCTTAATTTCTGAAGTTTAAAAAATAATACACAACCCACAAATCTAGCTATTTTGAGCCTTTACTGAGTTAGGTTCATAACCAATTTATTTCATCCTGCTCAACATAAGATTTTCAGTTACAACCATAGACAAAGATAGACACTCAGCAAACTCCTCTCACGAAACATCGATTTCAAGAGGAAGTGGGGTACACATGCTGCACGGTTTGTTTTAATTGAAAATTCAATTACATAAATACTAAATGATCGGAGATATAGATAGTTATTAACCCCATAAAATGTAAACAAAAAAATAATTCGTTTTTAAGAAAACGTACACAAACGACCCCAATTTTTCTAAAATTGTACAGTTTACCGTTGTACGAGTTGTACAGTACTCAATAATACACTGAACCTCTATCAATATCTACTATGTGGTTACAACACTCATTTGAAATTGAAAATATGAATAAACTAAAAAAAAGTTTAACAGAATTTAATGTAGGACGAAAACAAATTTTGGACCTACCTCACTATCCTCTACAATACGACGGAGCTCGTTGATGACCTTACTCTGCACGAAGGCTTCCTTCCTGATCATGGTGTCGTTCTTGTAGTTTGAGTTGTTGGCGTACCTCAGTTTGCCGTCAGGACGGAATTCAAACTCGAGGAACTCGTGACCAAACTTACCCTTGTGTCCAACATAATAACGTAGATAAAAATCCTGACTCATTATTTTCTAAAATTTCAAAACTAAAAATTTCTTTCAATTAATCTTCGATAAAAAATAAGCTCTGTTAGATACTTACCTAATAAAGGGTCTGTCCTAGTGAACGATTTTTGGACCCCCTCCTATCAATTTTGCACGTGACGAAAATTAGTATTTATTTATTATTATTTAGGGTTAAGTTAGGTTAAGACACTTTCTGGGCCGAGCACTGCGGCTATGACAGGCTAGGGGGCCGAGCGCTGCGGCCACATGGTCAATTCTATCAATTTTGTACAGGACCAAATTAGTATATATAGGTCCAAAAATCGTTCTCTAGGAATATACCATAATAAATTAAACAGAAAAATTGTAATGGGTTTATAGATAACAATTATGTGTTTGTTTTTAGTCAATAAAATGAACATAATTAGAATTGTTCAAATGTTCAGGTTCAATACTAAATTATGTTGCAAAAATATATTTAAGACCCACTTTTAAACTCTACTATTTTTTCATCTTAAAGTTGTTTCTATCGATCGATCGCTTTCAGATAATGAATGTTATCTAGCATGAAAACCCAGCTCTGCCTGAATATCCTAACAATTTGTCAAACCAAGCTTTGAGAATTTCCGTGGTTCAAACATGTTAAACCAAACTATTTTTAAGGCAAATCGGTTTGAAGTTTATACACTATGATCCAACTTACAAAGAAACAAAAAAAAGTAATATATGTAGATACTTTAATCAACTGTTAATTATTTTTCAAAGCGGCGAGAACTTTTTTTCAAGAACGTTAGGAAAACTGTTCTGAATGCCTCGTATTTATTGTTTTGACTCCAATGGCGTCGTCTTTGTTTACTTGCAATTTTTAATCATCCGAACCACAAAAAAACGGACGAAAGTTTTTACTCCCAGTAAAGTAGTTGGAAATTTTATTTTTAATATTTTCCCATATCTATACTAAATATATCGGATATGAAAAGGTTAAGAAAATATCTTGGCCGAGCACTGCAAGTTGCAACTGCAGGCTGCACCTATAGTTTAAGATTTAAGAAATTTTAGAGATGGGTGTTATTGTTAATTAACGTTTTCTTGTATTGAGTCTCTTTTAATAAACGCTTAAAACCAACCGTTCTAAGTTAAGTTACGATTTGTCACTTTAGTGGTGTTGATGACATAGTTCAGTTAGTAAACCATCTACAAAATCCCTGGACAAAGACGACATTTGTTGTAAAACCGGATTTAGTGTACACTTGTCTGCTGTTGTATTGATTATTTTTATTCCAATGTTCTGCTGTCATCATATGGGTGTGTTGAACACCATGGAGTGACCGTAAGGCGTGGTTTTTGTCTTCAAACTTGATGAAGAAAATCTATTTACTATCTTCTGATTTGTTTTGATGAAGATTTGTAAATGTTTCAGATAATTTGGAAAAGTGTTTTTGTAAAACTGTGACATCTGTTTCAAGTTTGCAGTGCCAACTTGTTCTCGTCTGTTATGCCGGACCAAGATGTCCACAACTATGAGACTAGATCTTCAAAATTTAACTCAGGTAAATTTTAACCTATCAAATGACTTCGGATCAACTCTCAAATTCATTTTAAAGATTATAAGAAAACTGGAGAATTGTTTGGCACATTTTGTTTAATAAAAACCATGCTATATTAGTTCACACCCCTTTTATTGTATTTACATAAGTATGCTATGTTCTATTTTTGTCTACGGGGGCGGGGGGCGCTGTGCGCCTGCATTATGTTTGGTTTGAAGATTTGATGGAACAGAGGCGTACATAGGGGGGGGGGGGCTATTGGGGCCAAGCAGTCTCTCCGGAGAAGTGGAAGGTATGTTTTCTAGGCCTGGTTCTATTAGGGGACTGAGCCCCCCCCCCCCTCCTTTAAATGACAAGAAAGATCAAGTCCCCCCTGGATAAAATGTACTTTTATCTATTAATATTAGCTTTGTCTCTCACTTTGTATCCAATAATCTTCAAAATGACCGAATCGATCGGGCCAACATTTTTTGTGGCAACTCACATGACCCCGCGTCCAAAATAAAAGAGTATGAATCGCCTTATTAGAAAAAAATGCGGATTTGGAAAGCAACAGTTCATTGTTAAAATTGTTCTGTAAAACTGGGCGCGAAGGGTTCTTAAAGCATGTTTACCACCTTCTGAACAAATAGCGGCCAACACTCTCATTAATTGATTGATCTATTAATTAATTAATTGATTAATTTTTCGACCATATTCCCAAAATAACAGAAAGAAGCCATCCAACTATCTCTGATACATGTTTCATTGTTTAACATACAAGTTTTATGCTTCAGCTGATTCTGATTCCGTAAAAATTTGGAAATATTGTAAATATTGCACTAACAAACCTTTCAACTTATTCTATTCACTTCTTGAATTTTACTTTATTTATATCCTAAATCTACATTAGCAAAAAATCAGTCAATATTCAGGGGCGTACGAGAGCATTTGTGTAAGGGGGGGGGGCATCATTGGCAACATTGTACCCTCCTTAAAAATTGAAATATTGAAATATTGAAACCTTTTTTTAACAATGTAAACTATTCGATCATACACACTTCCATATTGCAAGTGTTAATAAATTATTTATTTAATTAAGTGGACTCCTCAGACAATCCCTTTTAATACTGTGGTGTAAGCTTCAAGGGGCGAAAAATAGAGATGAAAACTTTTCTTCAAATATATCTATATTTTCATAGGAACGATACATATTTAATAAATAATGATATCAAATGTATATTTACACTGAAGGCAGTATTGATTAGAATTTTTTTAATCAAGGTTTTTTTAGTTAAGGGCAAAAGTAAGATTTTAAAGTTTTTTATGTCAATATTCAAACTACAATGTTGTAATAGATTTTTTCTTTAATATTATTATCTTCCTATGTCTACTGTTAATTAAAAGAAAAACTTGGACAGAAATTCTCTAGTTTGTGTATCCAATACGCAACGCCTGGGTTTCTCGTTTTTTTTAAAACCGATTCTCAAAATTATCCCTCAAAATTAAAAAATCTATGAGGATTTTCGGTCTTGCTGAACAAATGTGCATCGTAAAACCTCCCATAGGTCTTACATTATTCCAAAAAAAATTCACATCAATACTACATTCTCAATTCAACTACCGTACATGGCCGGTCACTCCCTTTAAAAAAGAGAAAAATTTGCATTACCTCCCTATGAAGGTGTTATAAAACTTCTTTATATATCCTAGGACGGACTTGAGTCACTGTTCCCTCGCTGTTCTCCGAAAACTCCTATATCTAGTAAACCCTTTCCAGGAGCAGCAAGCAGGAGTAGGTTAGTTTAATGTTGGTCATCTTTTTTTAAAATTATTTTTGGCTCCGCACAAATTTGACAAATTTTCGACTTGTAATGATCTAAAAGTTTACTTTTGTATCATTACCAGCTTGGAAACCTAGCTTTGCCTGAAAACGAAGTTTCATTATGAACTTATACTATTAAGTGGGGGGNGCTGAAATCAAATTACAGTCTTCATTTAGATTTCCCGAACCTAGAACTCCTTATGTTATTCATAATTAGAAGCAAATCTGCATTTGAGCTCATGTTACTGATATAATTATCTGTTTGGCTCTTTCTGTTAATATAATCAGATCTGAGCTGAAAAATTTAGAATGAGGTATCCTTAATCCCAATTACTTAATCTGAGTATCCAATGAACACACTATTGATTTTCTTCTTAAACCGTTCTTCCTTGGGAGAAAAATAAAAAAATGGTTTTTTTTTAATTTAGAGAGTTCCTCCTGTTTCTGTATATAATCTTAAATGGCGCGCAAAATTTCAAATTTATCGGCTTCATATATGCGACTGTGATTGGTTGAATTTTATACACTTTTCAGGAAACAAGTACAAGATTAAGTTAGTCTCGATATTAAGAAAAAGAGAGGATCAAGCATTATTCTCAATATCTACCATTCTAAAGATTCCAGCTCAGAACTAATAAATTTTTACGTTTAAATCTTTTGAACCATTGAATCCTCATGTTTAAATCTACTAAACCCACTAATTCTCTCATTTGGATCATCTGAACCAATAAAATCTCATGTTAAAATCTACTGAACCCGCGAATTCTCTCGGTTAGAATCATCTGAACCAATGAATTAACATGTTTAGATCATCTGAACCAATGAATTCTCAGCTTTCAAACCAGATTTCTCCCTCCAACAGAGATCAGAGGTACTTACTACTTATCTAAAAATGTTGTAAATATCTATTTATAAACAGTAAATGTATTAATTTTCCTGTAAAACCAACGCAAGGGTTACTTATATTTGGATAAAAAGGAACACATAATGACTAAATAAATCTAGATCTTGCATTTTCCTTATTTAAAAGTGTTACTTTTCTGAAAAAAAGTAAATAACACAATATTTTTGTAATGATATCATATTTTTGTTTTATTTAGACAAGAGTGTGGGACTGATCTATCTAGCAGTGAAGATATTTTCACAGTAAGTGTGGTAGATTTGACATTATTGTAACACGCTTCTAGCGTCAAAGAATGAACATTTTTACAAGCAATTCAAACCCACTCATTGACACAATATTAAAATATTTAAAGCCTGAATCTTCAAAGGGATCTTCAGGCGTAATTTCATGTGACAACAATTGCAATTTTTGAAACCTTTGTTGACAGTCCTTTTAACCTCAAAGAAATAATCATAAATAATCTTAAGCTGATGTTTAAGATTAACACAGTTCTTAACCAGCCAGAACCCCTTATTGAATTTAGTTTTTTCAGTCTGATAAGTAATAATGTTGTAGAAAATTATCTGCATTTTGTATTCTAAAATTAGGTCAAGCATAAATATCATCTTACAACCTAAAAGAGACAATATAACAATTAACAATTTAATTTGTTCTTTTTCAGCGTGAAATTTCTTGGAGCAATTACTCCAGTTCTAGCCGAGGTGGGCGGGACCGGAGAGGGGAGGGAGACCAGCAGGGGGAGAAGGGGCGTGTCCAGTGGGAGGAGAAGAAGTCACGACGGGAACTAATGGATAGAAGCGGACACTACGAGGTTGACCGAGGTCTATACCAGGAGAGTGGGAGGATGGAGGCTGCTGGTAGAAGAGCAGGGAAACCTGAGAGGACAAGACGAAACGAAGAATATATGATGGATGGAGAACGACGGATGACCCATGAGGATGAAGGATTGAGGATGATGAATGAAGGAACAAGGAGGTTGGATGAGGGTGGAATGAAACGAATGAATGAAAGAGAATATTCCAATGAAAGGTTGGAGAAACGTTGTCTCGCCATGTTTTGTATTTTTCTTTTTATTTCTTTTTTTATTATTTTTTGTTAAATTTTCAGGACGCATGTGATGAGTTGGTCCAGCACTTTTTTCATCTTTATTTTTATTTTTTAGATTTGTGTTTTTTTATTTGTTTAGATTAGATCAGGGGTATTTTTTTCCTGAGTCACTTCATCAAATGAGAAAAAAAATGTTATAAAAAAGAATTACAAAACAATTCTCGAAATGAAACAAATCAAAAGCATTTGTTTAGAAACATCATCTTTGAAAAAATTTACCCCTGCATTAGATTATCTAGTGAATTATTGTTGTAATAATGTTAGGTATAATATAGTGATCATATAGAACGGAAACTTTTTGATGTTGTAAATTGTAAATTGAATGATAAAGAGAAAAAAATGTCGCTAAACGGAATTGTAAAAGAAATTATTACTAAATTGAACTTAAAGAAAGGCATTTTGAAAGTTATTTATGTTATGTTATTATGTGTCGTACACTTCTTTCTAAAATGGAAATGTGAAGAACTGTTATGATTTGTGACTGAACATCACGTTCTAAATTAGAATCATTTGTTTTGTTTTGATTAAAACCGGTTTTGCAATTTCAGATTAAACGAGAGCGTGGAGAGAAGGATAGAAAAGGCTGGAGGTCTAGAGATTGTATCTAAATCTCGTAGCACCAGGAGGAAAAGATTGAGGTTAGTTAGCGGACATTTTGGGCAAAAAAAAAATTTTCTTAAGATAAAATTGTAGATCTCATTTGAAAGCATTTCCAACCAGTTTTTGGAAAAAATAATTCCAATTAAATGGAAAAAATGTACTTCTACTCTTGTTTAAAAATTTTCCTCTTTTCATTTTTTTATATTTAATATTTCTGCAAAAAAAAAACTGAAAACCAAAAAATTGAATTTCTAATTTCAATTTTAAAGCAGGATTTGCTTTTAAAATGTCTTTGATTTTTAAGAACTTTAATTACCAGTTAAAAAAAAAAAATTGGAAAATGTTAAGAATTTTATTATTCTGTAGTATTCTTGGTTGCTTATTTATAGTATTAAATTATTGGTAGATTTAAAGAACATGTTATATGCATTCAATGCTTGGTTTCGTCCACTGCGACAATTTGTAATTATTACTGATAAGTTATCCCTCTCATGGGTTCCGATCACTGGACATTCACAAGGATTACTTTGAACAATTTTTTGAACAATTTTTAACCCCAAAAAGTAAAAGAAAATGTACGTTTCTTCTAATTGGATGTATTTAGGAAACCGGTTCCCCTCAGTCCAGGTCCTCTTAGTCCTAATAGACCAAGTCCATTAGAAGGTGGACACCTCCTAGATAGTCCAGTCCATCTACTGGACTGTGGACCACCCTTGGTTGGTCCCCTGGACCCTTGGACCGGTCCTGGTTACGGGACCACGGCAGGTTGGTGGTTCGCCATTTTAATTGAAAACTTAGGGATTTTCGTTTATTCTCTAATCACCAAGCATGTACTTGGGAAGGATTTCTCAGACTAAACAGCACCTGGGTTGTTTATATTCCTCCCAAAATTGCAGTACACTTTTATGTAAACAAAGATAAAGATATTTCTGTTCAACCATTCAAAATGTTTACAGTAAATATATATGTTTATAACTAAAAATATTGTACTATTTTTATCTTCAAACACATTTTTTGCTCGGGAAAATATGTTTTTGTTAAAAGAAAAAATATTTTCAACAAAAATATCAGTGGTATTGATAGTTATGGATGGATGATGTAAAATTAAATTGTTTCTATCATAAAATCAAAACAAAAGACAGGTTCTTCGATCTTGGCTTTCCCTAAATGTATTCCTGAAACTCACCAAATTAATTAATTTTTAGATACAACATGCATTAATGCATTACTTTGCAATTTGCATAAATCCAAACTTTTAAAAGCGTAATTAATAGTAAAGTGCGTTAGAAAAGTAGATTCAACCTACTTCTCGTTTTAATTAATTCCGACCTCAAAGAAAAATCTTATAAATCAAAACTTAACTTCTCATTGTTGTTGTTTTAAACCGGTTTTGTTTGTCTAGTAGACGCCAGTCAAGAACGACGATTAGTTGAAACTGATTGGAACACAGAGTCCAACCCTGGAACGGATTGGAACAGAACCAGGACTGGAACAGATTCGAACAAATCAGCGAGAAATTGGAACTCGGGGATTTCTGAAGTTGAAAGAAATCGGGGAACATCAGATTGGAGCCTGGAACAATCGGGAACTCGAAGTTTGGAGCCTAGACCGTCCAGTGCAGTGTTCCGAGAAACTTGCTTTCAAAGCTCTCCAAACAGAAACAATATTGTATTCGATGATATAGGTAAAATTCTCAAGTCTCATTCTCAACGATAATTAATTGGATAATTAATTGATTTATTAGTTAATTGATTGGTTAATTTATTGATTGATTGATTGATTGATTGTTTGACTAAATCTCTTTTTTTTAAACAAAATTAATTATTCTATTAAATTCGCAGCATTCTTTGTTTTTTTGTAAATGAAGTTACTGTATGAGATAAATCTTACTCATAATGATTAATAATAATAATGATAATAGTAATACTAATCATAATAATATTTTTGTTGCATGAAGTTACTGTATGAGATAAATCTTACTCATAACGATTAATGATGATACCGATGATGATAATAATGATAATCTATATATAAATTTGGCTTGTCTGTTTGTTTGTTTGTCTGTTTGTTTGTATCCAATAAACGTCAAAACGGCTGAACCGATCGGGCCCAAATTTTTTGTGGGACATCTAGGGACACCAAGGAAGGTTTATGAATCATCAAAATTTCAAATATTTGTCTCCATCAAAATTCGATCGTCATTAAATTTTTAAAAATTTTGAAAATCCGCGAAATTTTTTGTAAAAATCCGCGAATTATTTTTGTTTTGTTTTACGATGTACACAAAGAGAACATGTTCACAATTAATTTAGAAGATGGGCGCGAAGCGCCCTCTAAGGCCAGAAAGAAGGGCGCGAAGCGCCTTGAATTTCTAGTAATAATAATATTTATAAAGAATATAGATGATAATTATGATAATAATAATTGTTAAAATGCTAGGATATCCTGGAGAGGATCCGGATACAGATTACGATCTTCTTGGACATCTCCTCCCTCCTCCTGTAGTCAACCCTCCATCAAGGTGTACTAAAAAAGAGAAAATAATATTTAGAAATTTATTATTTTACAATGAGGAATACTCGTGGGCTTTTTCGGTTTTTTCTTCATTTCGTTCGTTCATCGTGAATGACTCATTTCGTTCTTTTTTTTGTTCATAAAAGTTGATTTCGGTCGTTTTCAAAATTATCGTTTATTTTCCATCAATTTTGTTTTTTTTCAGTGAACGATCGTTCATTGAGTAAAATCGTTCGTTCAATAATTTCGTTCGTCCAATAAAATTGTTCTTAAAAAAAACTATTGTTTTTTCATAAGTTTGTAAGAAAAAATCGTCTGTTCAGAGAAATATAGAGTTTTTTTTTCGAATTCTTTCAGAAAATTCGTTTGTTCTGTAAAATCGCGTTTTTTCTTATAACGATGTACATCTCTACTTATGATGTATATAGATAATCTCTTCTTAAAATAAGTCTAGAACATGTTCTATTGTTTATTAAGATTGGTTATTGGTGGACACTATGTTTCATGTTGGACATTCTTCAGCAGCATATATATATATACATACATGTATATAATTTCAATATTTTTATTTTCATGAAAAATTTGGTCATTTCTTAGATATTTTTGATTTGATGCAGTTTTTTTGAGGATTGTTCAAATACATAGATAAAACAGTATATAGATGGGTAATGTACGTGGTGTACACTAGGAATTGTGCTCTTCACTGATTCTATCCAATATCTGAGGTTTCATTGCTTACACAAATTCAGATCACTCCATTCCTTTTGTTTCAAAGTTCCAGAAAAATCATTCACTTCACATCATTTCACTGAACAATAAAGAGCATGTTTATTTTATGAATTGAACAAAATTTTAATAAACAAATATCGTAATGCAGTACTTCCTTGTTGTAAACATCAATTTGGTGGCTTAAACGTACTTTATACTTCCTACAGAACTATAGTTAGACCCGATTTCTCAAAATGTTACCATACAATCTACACCTAATGAAGTGACATTGCCCACCCCCTGGTCAAATAACATTATCACTCGTAAAAAATAGAATGGAAATGACCTGATCTACGATAGTACTTACTGATTTTTAAATTTCCTGTCTTGTCTAGATATATATTATTAACTGAACGGTGGTTGTCTTTTATAGTGACGGGGTACTGGCCAGATATGGTATATGAACCGAGAGTATTAGTTAACAAAAGATCAGGATTCATTAGATTAGAGACCTAAACTCGTTCTTCAAAAATCACGAGGCTTGATAGTTATGTAGATTTGCTCACAAAATTCGATTTTTGAAAATTATTTACCCACCCGGAAAAAAACGTTAATTCTGATAGAAACTAATGTCATGTTTAAAATATTATACTCTCAGCTCATACCTAGCCAGTCACTCCCTTAAATAAAAATAAAGTTGAAATTGTTTATGTTAGGACTCGTGTTTCAATAGATGAACTTCTTAGACATTCTCCTGATATCAGTCAAACACAGGTAGGGTTACAGGGGAGAAATAATTTACCCAAATCACAGATATAAAAGCTATTTTTGATTAGTTTATATATTACAAGCTGAAGTGTCGGGCGTTATCCGGAGAATTTTAAAAAATCGTTAAAAAAAGTCGTTTTGCCAGCTATAGATAACATATATATGTATACAAATATATATGTATATATTATAATGTATAATATATATATATAAATATTGACTGATGAGGATCGAGAGATCTGAAACAATTTGTATTAATAAATATGAAAACTGAGAAGCTGTTCTGATTATTGCTGTATAGCTATATATAAATATATATATATACATATATATATATATATATTAGAGCAAAGAGCTTTATTATATAGATATATTTGGATGCAAATCTTTAGTATTGTTTTATTCTTGTTTTTTCTTTCATACTTCCCTCTCTCATAATGTAAACATCCGGGTTATTTTAGTTTGAAAATATATATCTTGCCATCCAACAGAAAATATATATATCCTCGTATCCAGCTGAATATATATTTATATATTTTGGTATCCCACAGAAAAAAATATATATCCTGGTATCCAGCTGAATAGATACCCTGGTACAGTGGGTATTCAGCTGAATATATATATCCTAGTATCCAGCTGAAAATATCCTTGTTTCCAGCTGAAAATATCCTGGTTTCAGATGGGAATATATATCCTGGTATTCCGTTAAAAATATCCTGGTATCCAGCTCAATATATATATCCTGGTATCCAGCTGAAAATATCCTGGTTTCCAACTGAATTTATATATCCTGGTATCCAGCTGAAAATATTCTGGTTTCCAGCTGAGAATATATATCCTGGTATCCAGCTAAAAATATCCTGGTTTCCAGCTGAATATATATATCCTGGCATCCAGCTGTGTATAAATATATATATATATATATATATATATCCTGGTATATGTATCCAGGTAAACATATCCTGGTGCTAATGAAAAATATATATCCTGAGCTGAACACTTTAGAATGGTGGATATTAGAATGCTTAAACTCCTGGTTTTACTTGTGAACAGCTGACTTTAATTCAATCGGATATTAGTCCAATCGATATAGCATTGTATCTGTAATTGTTATCAAACGTAACTTTTATACAGTAGGGATATCCAAAAAAGAAGATTATGAAGAAAATCAAAAGTGTTTACATTGGATAATCAGATTAAGCGATCAGGATTAAGGATTTCTCATTCTGCTCAGAGCTGGAAACTCTTATGCTTGGACAGTGGACACCCTTAGTACCGGCTCGCTTTAGCTCAATATCCACTGTGAACAATTTTAATTTTTCTGCTTGATCCTCTCTTTTGAACATCTCTGCTGGTTCCAACAGAAGAGTTCTCTCATTGGTTGTTGATAACATTTCTCCGCTTTTAATTGACTGTTCGGTTTATGCAAAAGACACTCTAATTAGTTGAATTTTAGACACTTTATAAATAAAGATTATATTATGCTGCAGATCAACGAAAAGATGAGATCAAGCATCGATCTCGATATCCACAATTCTAAAGTTTTTTAGCTCTGGTAGATCCAGCTGAAACTTATTTACTTGTTTTGTTCCAATTTATATAAATATATCTGACCTAGGTGAAAACATTGGAAGATCTGGATAAAAACCCTTTATACCCGATCCCTCTGCCCACCTCTCCGCCCCCACTGGATCCCTCCCCATCCCCTCTGGGGGGCGCCACCCCCCTCCCACTCAGCTCCTCTCCGGACAAATCCTTGAACATATCCGATATCTCTACCTCCATCCCAGTCCTAGCTTCTCCAGAATCCTCCTCCAATCGTATACCGGAGTCCTTCTCCCCCTCCAACCCTCTCTATAGATCCTACTCCCCCTCCCTCCCTGCGTTAAAGTCTCCCTGTCCTCCTTCCCTGGCGTCGGAATCTCTGGATAATCTCTACCTGGGAGAGGAAGCTGTCTCTGAACCATCAAATATAGGAACCATTCATTTAAGATGATTAAATCAAGAAAACTAGAGAGTAACTAGAAAGTCTTTGCCACAAACTGATTTTCTAATCCCTAAATCTTTGCCAGTTGCCACCCAATGTTATAGACCTTAGGTTTTTTAAACTATGAATTCTGTTAGATCAAATAATCTTAAGTTTGAAATATCTAAGGTTTTACCCATCAGATTACAAAGCTATAAGGATTGGCGAATTTGAATTTGTGGCAAAGACTCAATAATTATAACTCCTGAAAGTTCAAGATAGCTTGCGTGCGTCTTGCATTGGTGAGCTCAAATCAACTCTCGCAACATTTTGATTTGTCCCTGTAAATTTTCACGGTTTACAGTTTTACTTTCGGCCTGTATATATATATATATATATATATATATATATATATTAATAGTCTTTTTATGGTCTTTTTAATTAATGGGGGGGGGGGGGGGGAAAAAAATTTACGGTTGCTGGGAATCTTGAATATAAACTGTCGTCTCTGAAGTCTCATCCTTTGCGAGTAAACCTGTAAGTCTAAGCGATCAAAAGGTACAAATGTAAATATTTGACTATATAAGAAAGTGGAGGGTCATTTATAAGAATTAATCAAGAATAGCAATTTTCTATATCTAATCAACTATTTAGTAATTAATATCAGCTTAAATATGGCTGAGACTAAAACCATCAAAATTATAATTCTGGAAAAACGTTTCATGTATTCAAGCTAGTGAGTTTAAAAACTTAAGAGTTGCGATAAAACTCATTAAACTTGCTGAAATTGTTTTTAATAAAGGAAAATGGAATCCAAACTATATCAGTTCTATTGAAAAATCAATTTAAATGTTTTAATTAAACTTCAAATTGAATTTATACACAAATAATGTCAATTTACATTTTAGTTTTATGCTTAATGATTAAGTTCAGACGTTTTTAATGCAAAAAAGATTATGATCTCTATTTAATTTAAAAAGTTACGGTGATCTAAAAGAAAAGTAAATATAAACTTTAACCTACAGGGTGTTTCTCTACAACTGATATTTTTGATTTGCTAACATTTTCTTGAAAAAACTGAGTTAAAAAATCCGGAAAATTGACTTGCTTGAAGGGACCTTTTATATTCTGGTTGAAAAAAATGTCTCCAGTCAGAATTGATAAGTCAAATAGCCCTTTTACTGAAGAGTAGAAATCTTGATAATCTTCGAAATAAGCTTTAGGTTCGCCGAGCCTTCAGGTTACAGTTATTGCTCAACCTGCTACTGATTAAGAACTTTAAATGATTTTGGAAGAGTTTTCTTTTTCCCTGAAGCCTGCAGAAATCAGAAAGTGTGTATGCCACTTGAGAGATCGCGCGTCAGAGACTGTATATCTTTAAATGGATTTTTCTTAAAACGTAAATGTCTAGTTGAACTAAGAATATATTTATTGCAAGATTATCAGGTCGTTTTAATCGAAATGTAAGCAAATCAAAAATATCAGTTGTAACACCCGGTACATAATCTCTATAGTCTGCAGAAATGAGTTGTTAGAATTTGAGCCCTTTAAAGTTATGGTTTCAGTTGCAACTCGAAACTTTTGGAATTAAAATTGTTCTAATCATGAAGGCCAGGTATGAAGTAGAAAAAAAGAGAATGCTTGTTTGAAAGCTCTAATGTTAATATCGGAAATATTCTCTGTAAAGCTGTGTCTGCAAATTTTAACATTTTTGGTTTCTAAAGTAAGTTTTAAAAAAGTGCATGTGCACCATTATACAGTACAGTGTACATCTATCTTTCAGAGAAGCAATAACTGGGTATGGCTCGTCGCTTCTAAAAGCACTTGATACAGGGTGAGAGGGGAAAAAATGGCAAACTAGAGAAACTTTCTCCAGGGTGTATATTAAGGTTTCCACGGATTTAACCTTTTTTTAAAAAATGCCGCGCGCGAGGAGCGCGGTATTTTTTCCCCTTACACTTTATTTTGTGAGATTTTTCTGAAAATCTCAGCTCATTATCTTAATAAGCTGAGAAGATAATTGCATTTTAATATTCGCTTTAAAAAGGCCAAGCTGAATTATTATTGTCAAAATCAAATGTCAAATACAACATTCACACTACGGTGCACTATCTTTTTTAAAGGGGGGGGGGGGGGGGCACTTCGTTTTTCCAAAGATTGTAAGACATCTTAAAAGTTTTTTTTACATTTTTTAATCTTTGGTATCAATTTTTGACTAGTTTTCATTAATTAAATCATACATGATTTCAATAATGTCATAATTTACAAAAGTTTCATCGTTTCATTCATAGTTTAAAATAATTTATACATAATTTACAATAATGTTTGACTGTTAAAGGGACTGTTAGCGTAAAATCAAATGACCCTCAGAGAAAAGATGGTAATGCCAATTTTCACAGTAACCTTAAAAGCTTTGTCTGATCCAGTTTAAATTATTTAAAAAAACAGATTTTTTAACTTGTGGTTTCACTACATAAGTGACTTGCGCATTTCTACTGCAGGAAAACGTTGGAATTATCAGAATTAAGTACTTTTATACCTAGAAAAACGACAATATCTTCCCCTTTATTGATTGGAGGGTCACTGAAAATTACGCTTACAGTTCCTTCAATGTAATTAATTTAATTAATTACATCAATTTACAATGGTTTTAATTTTAAATTCAAATCTATTTCTTTGTATTTATCATCTCCAGAACCAATTGTCCCAATTCTGCCAATTTTCTGATCTGCCAGGAACTGCAGTTTTCGTATCCTCTGTTATGTAAAAAGAAAATAACTTAATTAAAGAAAGTATTTCCAGGGATGTGCGACAAATAGGGATTTTTTTAGAAGGAGGGAGGAAGCTAAAGTTTTTTTTATAATTGTCAGTTTAAATTTTTCAATTTCAAACATGCAATTGTTTTTTACCTAAATCTCTCCATCTTCATAGCTTCCTCAAGATTTTTGACTCCTATATCAAAAAACTTCTTTACTTCATTGTTGAACTCTGTCATCCTGTTGTTTATGGAGGTGGAAGACAGTACCCTAATCTGTTTCTTTATATGTATTCAGGTTTTATCTCTTACACTGATAGCTAGTATGGTAGGAAAACCGGATCTGAACCATGGATTTATTATGGCAGCAACCAAGCAGGGCTTTATGCATGGCATCCTCCTAACTCTGTGTGAGTACAGGTTTTGCTTATATCCAACTAAAGTTTCAATACTTGATCTGTGTCCCGTATTCTCCGATAAATGTGTTCGTATTTACGCAAAATATCTTCTGCTGTAGGCAATACAGAAGAAGGCAACATTTCTTAAAGTTGGCCAATAGCAAACAACTCTGTTTTCTTTCTTGTCATCATTTTAAAAAGTACTGTGATATAAATTTTACTCAGGTGTTTAAATTGTGTGCATGCCGCACAACAGAATTTTGAGAAAAATTGTCGTCTTCACAGATCCATTTCACGTCACCATAAAAACATAGAAAAAAACTTAAAATCATTTGTTTAAGCATCTTAATTACGATTGATATAATGGGATAAACCACCTCGCTCATGCAAATCAAATAAATTGTCATCTGTGGACACCTTAGTGTATATCCCCTGTATACACCCTTGCACACAAATGGAAAAGAAATAAACGGCACACTACAAGAAACATTGAAGGCCTGCATTAATCTTCTAATGCTGTATTAACCTGGAGAAAGGAAGTCTTTTACCTAGCTCGATCCAGATTTTGCTAAGACATCTTTAAATATACTCCTTTATAACAAGCCTGGTTAGCTGTTATTATTTATACGAACTCGTCAGAAAGACGTTAATTCTTTCGATTGAATCTGGTTCTATGTTTTAGCATCAAGGGAGCTCAGAACAGTCTGGTTCTTATACAGCTTTCTCCAGTTTCTTGTTGTTGAACAGAACCATGTGTGGAATAACATGGCAGTACACTCTACTAAGAAAACGAAAATAATAGTAGCTAGAAGGGGTTTCTTGCTCTCTCTTTCTCTCTCTCTCTCTTCCCCTTTTCTCTTGCCAGAAACAAGGCAAATGGAAACATATAAAGTGGAATCCTGATAGGCTGTGCACCATGCACTATGATACTGGATTATACTCTGCCGGCTGCAAGGAAAAGATTGCTGTTGAAGAGGCTGTATCGTTAAGCACTGTGTCCAAGATAAACTTACAAGAATCAAGAATTCTTTGGTCAAAAATATCCCCTCCTAGCCTAAACTTTGTTATCTCATTTGTCATTATTAAGACGGAATTCTGACAATGGATATCCTCAGAATTTTCAAACCTTGCTTAGTGCAGTGACGTTTATTTTTTTAACCTGCAAGAACAAAGAGGAAATTGTGCTTGAAGCTAACCTTCAGAAGTTAATGAGTCAGACATTCCTGGATCAGAAAACAATATGGAAAACTGCAAATGCATCTGATATCTAATCACAAACACCAACTTTTATTATACTTGATATACTCCAATTCCTCATACGGAACCGGAGCTAAGCTTGGATAGCAAGTAGTACATAGCTATAGGTTGGACAGAAAGTGGAGAAATATTTGTCGTTAGAAAATGCTAACCCAGAATAATGCTTTGAACGCATGTTTGAACGTATGGAAAACCGAAGCCACCGTTGCCCCTGATCCTAGTTTGAATTCAAGCCAATAGGCATGAACCACGGCTGAGAAGGAGAAAATAGGATCAGCCTGGGCTAAAACCGAAATGAAGTCAAAATTCACGAGGAGCCTGAAGATGGAAGATTAACTTGTACAAGGCAAATGAAAGTCGGAGATTCCGTCAGAGAGCTCGGGCTTTCCATGATTCAATAGTATGTTTTTTTATTTGATCATTTTTTACTTATAAATACATTTTTTCCTTTACTCTGTGGATTTACTCACATCAGTTTTAAGGCTTTAGATTTCCTTTATTTCATACCATTTTTAAATGTAACAATAGAATTCCTTTCGTGGTTGCATTAAAAGTTTTGAAAGTATTTGAAAAGTAATTTATCTAAATAGCCTTAAAGAGCTTTTTCCTGAGTTTCAAGTGATTTGATAAGGTCGGGCAAAGAAAACTGACCTCTCTTTAACTCTTCTCAAGCTCTTATCAATCTCCAATCATCTGAAGAGCCCTAGTAAACTTTTCAAGTGCCTCCAGCTGAAAACCTGAGTTCACAAATTTCCTTCAATCATCATTTTTTATTCCGTCAATAAAGGGACTGTATACGTATCTTCAAGTGACTAAATTTATAGAGAGGCATGTTTAATTCATAATTGTTCCCTTTAAAGCTTTGTATGATTCCAGATTGAATGAGATATCCATGCTTTGAACCTTGGAAATTTACAATTTTCCTGCTATTAAAGCGACTGAATTTGTTGCTACGGAAACAATGGAGAAAATTATCAGAATTAAAGCAAGAAAAATTACGATCTCCCTCCCAGTTTATTAATTAGACAAAGATTTAAAGAGAATTAATATTTTTTAAATTTTTTTATTATAAAATTGGGGAAGGAAGATATTAGGGAAAACGTCTTTTAATCCGTTGAATCTTTAATGCTTGCAGTTTTATAGAAAAGATTGTGTCAAGCACTGTTGCTAGCTTTGCATTTCTATTCAATATTTCTGATCAGTTTTATCAATGGGGTTCACTCACAAATCAATGAACATATCAAACAATTTTGTTTCAGAATATCTACATATATCTGTTTGTTTGTTTGTCCGATCATAACTTGGGAACCCCTGGACCGATTTGCCTCAAGTTTTGATTTAGGAACTCGGGAGACCCACTGGAATTTGCTTAGATTGGTTTTGAGATTCTAAGTTAAGTAGGTCGACTTAAATTGAAAAAAGTCAGTTTCCCGGTTTTATCGTTCAATTGCTGGTAAACGGCGGGAGTAACTTTTAGTAACCTGGGCAGCGCTGGGTTCCCAAACTAGTTGTTAATAATTGTTGAACGATACCTGAAAGGTACTGTTGTCTCAATTTCAAGTGACAATTTATTGAGTGACATATCCGATTCACAACAGTTCCCTGTAAAGCTTTGTCTGATCAAGAGTTAACCGTGATGTCTTTTATTTTCTGTTGTGGTTTCTTTAAGGGTTTAATGGGTACCATTGTGAATCAGCCATTACAACGGTCACTTTAATCAGACCAAAATTATTTTTAAGCCCCAAACATTCAAAAGGATTAAGGAGGAAAGAAGTGTCCTACATTTTTTTTCAATTCGGACATTTTTTCAATGAGTTTTATATAATTTATACTTAAATCTCAGTAATTGTAAAAATAAAAAAATAATAATCAAATATGCGGGAACAGTTTTGAAGAGCTCCATATAATTATTCAATTAAATTACTAAATAGCATTCCATTATCAGTAGGTTGGGAGACCTCGTTATAATAAAATATCGTTTTCTTTTATTCTTTCGATGTCCCTAAATTTAATTCTGGGTTAAGCTATACAAAATCTATTATTATTTCTAAAAAGTTAATAAAGGAGTTTCCTTGAAATATGATTTTAAAAAAAAGTATTTAATTCTTGTGAATACTCTAATCTAACCATAGAGAGAGATCCTTCCTCAATCTTTAAAACAAAGAAATCTATTAAAATACATATTTTTATGAATGGAAATGTTAGGAACGCTTACATTAACACAGTACACTGAATCTCCAAGAAGGTTAGTATATCAGTTCCAAATATTCATTTTAAGGGAGAATAGCACATTGTTTCATGCTGTGAAATCCTTTTCCGGGCAAAGTCTTATTTTTTAAATATAATTTTAATCAATAAATAAAAAATTGGATATCTCGTTCGAATTCATGCATATTATGCAAACATGCAATTAGTGCAGGAATTAAAAGTTTCTTAATTTTTGGAGTGCATTAGTTTAATTAAACAATATATTTCCCTTTAAACCAACCCGACTTTACAGGTACGGACACCGATCTGAGGACGGGTCTAATTTTCAATTAAAGCATTCCCGCATTTTATGTGAAGAAAGTTCCTCATCAGCTGTACCAAATCCTGGTCCTGACTCCCCTAGTGAGGTAGAGGCTAGTAATGAGGGAGGGAAGGAAGAAGATGGAGGGGAGAAGTGTGATGAGTTGAAGGAAGGTATTGGAGGATTGAACGAGGGATTGAGAGACTTGGCACGGATAGGCGGACTGTCCTCTACTGGACTGGAGACCGGTGGGAGTGCCAGTACCCAGCTGGTTCCCCCAGGTGAAACATCAACTTTCAAACAGAAAGGTGAGTCACTGGCAGCCATTTTGATATTTTAGTGTCTTAACATTTCAAGCGAACATTTTTACTCAATTATCTTTTTGCTCAATTATTATTAAATATCATATTTTAGTTTTTACTTAATACTTTCTTGGATTAAAAATTACTTGAGGACACGACACATGGAATATGGATTCTGAACTTTTTGTATTTTTTGTATTCCCTTTTAAGTTATCATATGATCTTTAAAATGATAGATAGAGAGATAAATAAATATTAAGATACTAGGCTTTTAGGGCGCTTCGCGCCCATCTTCTATTTCATTTCAAAACATTTTCTAATTGAAAACAGTGTAAAACAAAACAAAAAAATTCGCGAATTAAAAAAAAATCGTGGATTTTCAAAATTTTCGAAATTCAAAATTTATTAGAAGCAAATTTGTGAAAATTCGATCATCCATAAACCTTCCCTGGGGTTACGTGAGGTTACACAAAAAAATTGAGCTAGATCGGTTCCGCCGTTCTGACGTTTATTGGACACAAACGGACAGACCAACAAACAGACAGACAAGCAAAGTACATATATGTATAGATGTATTTCGGCTAAAATCATATTTAGAGTATTATTACTGATTGGTTTTAAAAATACATATTTAGAAAAAAAAGATATTTACAAATAACTAATTGTAATACGCAGAAAGAAGAAAGATCCAAAGAGGGAATTATAAGGCTCTATGTTTTGACTCCAATACTTGGTAATAACATGAGTAGCAGTTCTCATTTCTACATTCAAATTCCTGATATTTAGAGAGCCAGATTTTTTGTTTATTTATAACTAAGAACTTATGATGAACATTGAACATTTAATAATTTACTGGAACACCATTCTCCAGATTCTTATGAGAAATTTTTGGAAAAAGTCTAGAGTATTTGTTTGTTACCAATTCCAGTTTTAAACTTTGTGTCCTCTGAGGTTATACAAAAGGTGCAAACATTCAATTCCTTGATTTTAAGGCCTTAAATATTTCTCGAGTTCTTAAAGTTAAATTTAAAAATTCCAATGTCTGGAAATTAAGTTAATGACGGTAACCTGAATTTCATCGCACTTTAAAATCGTTTTAAAATAAGTATTTAAACTTGAAATTAAGAGTTTTTATGTGTTTGCTTCACGGAGGAAAACCAGGCGCGCAACTAGGGGGGGGGGGTAAGGAGGGAAGGCCCCCTAGCCTGATTAAGAAGGCTTGCCCTCCTGTCAGTGTCTGACTACACTGTACACATATTTGATTTATGGATGAATAATGAATATATATATATATTTGTAAATTGTAAATTAATTAACATTGTTATTTATTTCAACCAGAATAGATTTCTTTTTTTATTTCATATCAGATGTGTTGACTTACTGAATATCCTGTTGGTAACGTTAGTTTTTTTATTGTTTGAGTATAATACACATTTTTCTTCCCCCCCCCCCCCTAAAAATGTTTAGGGGGTGCAAAAAAATTTCATCTTGCCCCCCTCTTAACAAAATATCTAGTTGCGCGCCTAGCTTAAACTTTGCTACACTTTTCCCTGGTGGGGCGAAGTCCCCTTAGTCCCCCTCTCTGCATGCACCCCTGCACTTATAAAATCAGAGCTGAAAACTTTTGAATGGTGGATATCGAGATTAATGCTAGATCTACTTTTTTTCTTAATCTCCAGATCAAATAATGCTTGTTCTCCAGTTGTTATTAATCTCAAGATTTATAAACAGATCGGGATTAAGGATATCCCATTCTAAAGTTTTCAGCTCAGTTTTGCTAATTTAAGATATTCCTGGATTAGTTGGTAAACTTGGTTTCAAATTATTCTTCCATGTAAATAGTTTTTAAACTTTCCTCATTTTCACATTGTTTGTCTTCTAGCAAAATCCCCCAAACCCCCTCACCTCTCATATATTTCCTATTTGTTTCTCTCCGCTAGGGTTAAGAGCTATCTAAACTTGAAAAGAAATATTTTACGCCAAGTTTTAAAGAAAGATTTATTTAATGAAATTTCCCGGAAGGAGAATGTATTGAAAACTTTAAACCGGTTTTTCTTTTAGTTTGCCTTGTTATGCTAATATTAAACATTCATCATTACATTTTGCAAAATTAGATTCAAGAAACAAAATATGGACAAAGGATGAATTTTTTAAAATTTTAATTTCTCCATTTTATTAAATTTCATGAGGAAAATTGGATGTATGTTTAAAGGGGACCTAAACCTTCATAAAATCCTATGTTATGTATTAAATAAGAGTAAGCTTGTAGTGAAGATATAATGGCCTGATATTTATTATGTATAAGTTTTGTAAACTATATTTATGGATGAGGTGTATGGAACCCCCCTGGGAGTATACATTATACTATTAGGTGTGTATATCAGATACCAAGATATTTGTTTACAATCAGATTAGCTAGATTTTATATTGATTAGATTCTTGCATTGTTTTTGTAACTCGGGTAATAACATTTTTAGAAAACAATCACAAGAATTTTTACTTAGATTTTTTGTTTAATACGTATAACCAATTTTTGTCCTCCCCCCCCCCTTAAACCAGTTGTTTTCTACTAAAACATCCCTTTAGACTTTCTCTATTCCTTTTCTCGTTTTATTTTAATTTTGATTAAGAATATGGAACATACACATTCAATTATAGTTAATAGTTATGGAACAGACATTTACAATTATAGTTATAGAACATACGGAGACAATTATAGTTAAAGAATATATACAGACACTTGTAGTTATGGAACATATACAAGCAATTATAGTTATGGAACATACAGAGACAATTATAGTTATGGAACAGATATAGTCAATTATTATGGAATAGACATTTACAATTATGTTTATGGAACAGACATAGCCAACTGTAGTTATGGAACAGACATAGACATTAATAGTTATGGAATAGACTGAGACATTTATAGTTATGGAATATATACAGAGACATTTTTAGTTATGGAACACACAGAGACATTTTTAGTTATTGAACACACAGAGACAGCTATACTTATGGAACGTATACTGACATTTATAGTTATGGAACACATACAGACAATTATAGTTATGGAACATATGCAGACATTTATAGTTATTGAAAATATGCAGGCAGTTATATTTATGGAACATACACAGACGATTTCATTTATGAAACATACACTGACTATTTATTTATGGAACATATACAAACGATTACATTTATGTAACATACACAGACGATTTTATTTATGGAACATATACAGACGATTTCATTTATGAAACATACACAGACGATTTTATTTATGGAACATATCCAGACTATTTGATTTATGGAACATATCCAGACTATTTGATTTATGGAACTGACACAAATAATTATATTCATAGAACATACATAAAGAATTTTTTCATAACACCCAAACAAAAAAAAACATTTTTGAATATCGTGAATAATTAGACTTAAAGCCAGAGAGAAGTTTTAATTCTTAACTTTTTATTAAATTAATTTAATACCCACATCATCCTTACTCGCAATTTAATTAAAGCTCTTTTCCAAAAAGATTTTTAAAGAAAAGATAATTTTTTCTGGATCGTCCAAAATATAATAGAAACAAGTGATACAAGTGATCAAATAACGATCTTGTTGTTGCCGACTTACTCTAATTAATTTTTGGAGACCACTTAACTATGCTTTAAGTAGTGTTTGATTTTCTGTTTTAGGGAACAGGAAATTACCGGGCTTTCCGCAAAGGATACAATCCAACCCAACCACACCCAGTACGGGAATACAAGTAAGCACATAGAATAAATAGGATTAAAGAGCTAGCTCTAATCTTCTACCTCATTTACAGAGAATAACCATGAGTAATGATCTTTAAAAGTAATTGATATTAGAGCAATTCTTATCTTAGCCCCTGTTTCATTTTATATATGTATTTTCCTTCACGAATAATTCAGAAAAAATGTCTTCGCTAATAAAAGAAATGAAATTTTATTTTGATTAATTCTGAGATGGATATTTATAAACAAGTGAAAGATAGATAAACTAGTTACGGTTAGTTCAGATATCTCATTGGTAACAAGTTAAAACCAAGAGAAAGTTCTGAAATCCTATTGTTTTTTGTGTTGAGAATTGGATGGGCCCCAATAAACAGTCTTCGTGTTCACGTCGATTTAGTTAAATTCTATTTTAATTGTTCCATTTTTTGCAACTTAAAAGCTGGTTCAAATTTTGCAGAAGCTATTACTGAGAACCTGACTTGGTATTAGTTAATTTCTGTCTCTGCTCTGTCTCACCCTTTATTATAACTTAATTAAATTTTGGTCTAACATTAACTTTTCTTCTGTAAAGGAGTCAAATGAAGAAAGCGATTTGAGCAAAATGACCAGCACGCTACGTCAGTCAGACCAATCAGGAGAACGGAAAAATAATCTCCGCCAATCGGGAGGAAGCATGAACCCTCTGCACCAATCAGACGACAGTCTGAAATATAAATCTGATTATAGGTGATATTTTAATTATTATTGTTTTTGACCCTTGGACCATACATAGTTGTCAGTTTAGAAGATTTTCCGGTGTATTTTTGGTTTTTTAAAACTATTTTTAAACTGTTTTTCTTTGTTTAGTTATGAGTCTAGTGAGACAAGAAGAGTATTACAAGAGTTTTTTAACCAAAACCAGAAATCTCAACCCTACTCCCAGGAACAGCAATCTCAAACCTATCCTACAGAACCTTGTCAGCCCCGCTCCCCCTCCTTATCCCAGGGGCAGCAGACTCAAACCTTCTCCTCCTTACACAACTCTCAATCCTTCCCTTCTAACATTCAGCAGAATTCACCGAAGCAGCTTATTCATCCTTTCACTACAGAGCAGCAGCAGCAACTTATTCATCCTTACTCTTCGGAGCAGCAGCTTATTCATCCTTACTCTTCAGAGCAGCAGCTAATTCATCCGTATTCTACAGAACAGCATCAGCAGCAACGGTTGAAGACAACCAAACAACAACAACAGCAGCAGCCGAGAAATAATGATTTGTTGCATACTGAGGTTATTACCTTAATATTTTTTTGGGGGGGGGGGGGGATGAATGCAAACTTCTTATAAGACAATTTTTTGTGGGGTAAAAAAATTCAATGTAATAATTTCTAAATTTGTATCTAAAAAACTAAATTTTTCGCTTTAAAAGCTTTTACCCAGGTTGGATCGGAGAGTGGAGTCGAAGACGATATTTCCTATTCTCTGAGTCGAAGATCTGTTAATAGTATGGTCGGTCAGAAACTTGCTTTAGGAATTTACACAAATATAATTTTTATGAGTTTTAATTCAGGACACTTAAAATCTTTCTGTAATCTGCTACTAATGGTCTCATATGTTTTCTGAGCTCTTTAAAGGGACTGTAAGCGTAATTTCACGTTCCTGTTCGTGCAAAGATAGCGATGACATTTTTTTTCATTTGTGGTTTCATTTGTGGTCACATAAAAGTAACCGTTTCTTTTTAGCAGATTCGTAGTTCCACCCTTTAAGAATAAGGAACAGAGCTTAAAAAATCATTTTTTAACAAATTAATCCAACAAACTGAATTTGTAAATGTATTCAGAAACTGATGATAACCTACTGCATGGAGTAACCGGAAGTACTACACGGTATGTTTATTCTTTTCCAGAAGGTCATCTGGGGCCAACCCTTGTATAGCTTCGGAATGACTTTAGGCCCAAAACAAACGTATATTACTTTAAATGGAAACCTACGATATTAGCTCAGGATACTTTCAAGAATTTCCTTCTTCCCACCTGGGCTNACACTGGGGAAACATTTAAATGGAAATTAAATTTTTGGCCCATTTTGATCATTTTTGTCCAAAAGTTCTTTCATTAGCTTCTACAACACTTCTTGTTGCCATTTGAATTTCGATGAATTATATTTTTAATTAAAATATTTATTATTAAATCCTTATTGTCTTGGGTTGTCTGACTTTACTTCTACATTTTTGTTTTGTCACATAGATGCATTGGAACTTTTTATCCAATGTAGATGTCGTTGAAATATCATTTAAATTTTTTTTTTCAGAGTATTTCATTACTCTCAAAACTAATTTAATTCTGGAGAAATGCGGAATTCATGTTTACCAAGAATTGTTAATAAAATATCTTATATAATACTTTATAAAAAAATCTTGAAGATTCTTTAAGCAACATATTTCTATGCTGATTAAAACCTTTTCAAAACTATATTAATTTTGGGAAATTAGAAAAGAGTTCTGCGAAATATTAAGAACTTGGGAATTACTAAAACTAAAATGAATTTGTAAAATAAAACTAGAAATATGAAAACCTTTAAGAAAACAAATATAGAATTAACTTTCTATATTTTCTATTATTCAACAGTAAGAAAATTTTTGAATCTTGTTTTTCTGGTAAGTTTTCCATGAGCTGCTTTTATCACACTTTCATTGGTCATGACCCACTTTTCAGGGGCAAGTCAGGTTCCACTAAAATGCGGGCCTAATCTCATTGTTTATTCGATTAGAAGTTTAAGATTTAGCAAACCACGAAAAAAATGAAATACTTTTTATATTTGTATCTCCCCCGACGGAGCTGAGAGGACATCTTGACATTTACCAGTATTAATATGTTAAGTTCTGCTGTATTAAGACGTGGTGAGATGAATCAGGAATTGTTGGATCTTGGAATAATACAAACTTCAGAGACGTCCAATACCAGGAACAAACTTTCAACAACTTAAATACCATTTATAAATTCACCCCCCCNCTAACCAACTAATGGAGGGTGCTCAAATCTATTATTATTATTATCAAGACTCTGCTCCTCCACTGGTTTATGTGGGATCTAGTGGTTCAGATCTGGCCTGATTTTTTAAGATTCAGTGTGTACTCTGTATGCCAGAAAAGCATGAATGCTTAGGGAAAGTTAAGGGAATGCTTCAAAAGCACTTACGGAAAGTGGGACACACCTCCGCAGAGTTTGTCTATTTGTTAAAAGAGGTTTTTGAATGTCTAAACAGAATTTTGTTAAAATAATAAAGTTTATATTCAAACTTGAAAGATTAAAAAAAACCAACAAACTTTTCAGCGGCAAACAGGAATATTCTCCCATGGGTTCAGGGTGCAGTGCATTGTCAATGTCATCCCCCTTGCCTGCGAAAAAAGTTCTGCTTTAAAGATGAAAAAGTTTTAATATTCAAGGAAGGAATTCAATGTACTTAAGATGAATATTCAATATTTATAGGATATTTTCCCATCTTGATCAGTACTAGTGGACTTTCAATTCTTTCGTTTACTGACTTTCCATAGATTCGTTTAGTGATATGGCGATCGTTCATAGTGTAATGATTTCGCTCGTTCGTTTTTTTCATTCGTTTGTTCGTTTAACAGTCCTCTGGTCCTTTCTTTATTTCTCTCCCCCCCCCCCTCCTCCCCACGATTTGAATGATTTTCTCAGGTTCTGTTAAATTAGTTTATTAATTGGTTAAGTTTGGACTTTGATAGATACGAGATATCCTCTGGCAGATCTGAGAATCAGAGTCTCAAATCTCAACTTGATCTTCTCTCCTCAGACCCAGAGCATAAACTTGATCCTCAATCCCGATATATCATGGACCAGTCCAACCAGAGGAACAGGCATAAGGACACGCGGGAAACACAGGCTCGGGAAAATCCGGGAACCAGAGACAAGTTTGAATTAATCCGCGAGAATCCTGAGAAAATGTCTGAAAGTAGGAATTTCACCCTGTCTCCTGAAACTACGGACTGTGATTCTGCTGATCTTGAATCTGAACTGTCTCTTCCATCCGGTGGAGAGGGATCATATCATTCATCTGGACCTAGGATGCATACATCAATGCCAATACTAGAGGTAGGATAATTACAAATGTAGCACCATCACTGATTGCTAGCTTTAAGATATCTATTAAATAATTATTGAAGAAAGTTCTTGCAAAAAAAATAACAAATTTTAAATGATCTGGGGGGCTCCAAAGTGAGCGAGAAAAAAAAAGAATTTAATCATAACATTTCCACCACGAGAATCAATGTTATTTTTAAACTTTAAATAAATGTTAAAGCCAATATTTTTTCTAAGTTGATCATTATAAAACATTTTTGTATACTTATCATTATCAATCAGATAATTGTTTTTTCAATTTAGTTAACCCATTGTTTAAATTACTTTAATGTAAAGAACGCAATTGCCTCAAAATTTGCTAACCCTCACTTTAAACCCCTCGACCCTTCAAGTTTTAATTCAAGAATTTCCTTTTGTCTCTGATTGAACCTTCTGCTCCGATGCTGAAGTAAAATCAGATAAAAACCTGGTGGAACAATTTAAACTCAAGTTCTTGCACGACTCTTTAGCTAGATTGATCAGTGCTATAAACCCACAGATTAAGCAGTAAGAACAAAAGAACCAATATTGTTCTATAAACTCAGAGTTTCAAGGGATAGAACAAGAGATGTGAAATTATTCTATAAACAACAGATTATAAAACCCACAGAATTGAGTGATAGGACAATAGAGCCATTTTTGTTCTATAAAACCACGGAATCAACAGATAAGAATGATTTGATCTGATTTGAAGGCAAGAGATTGAATCAAGCCACTAGCCACCACGGATTAAACAGATATGACAAGAGATCCAAAATTGTCATGTAAACCCACTGATTAAACAGATATGACAAGAGATCCAAAATTGTCATGTAAACCCACTGATTTAACAGATAGTACAAGAGAGCCAATAGTGTCCTTTAAACCTACAGATTAAACAGATAGGTCAAGAAAGCCAATAGTGTTCTTTAAACTCACAGATTAAACAGATAGGACAAGAGACCCAAAAGTGTCCTTTAGACCTACAGATTAAACAGATAGAAGAATAGATCCATTATTGCCTTATTGTGAAAATCAGACCTAAAAAAATCTTTTAAGAGCATGTATGTGTTGAATATAATACCTTCCCATACATTTTCATTAGCATTCTTTTCACACATTTGGATTATCAGTTAGTACGGGTTATGGGAGTAATCTTGATTTGTAAAGAATAAGAAACTCCATAACACTTGAAGTATTTTCCCGTGTTTTTACAGAGCAAAAAGATCCTTGAACCTCTAAATAATAATAATAATAGTGGTTGTAAATGGAAACAGGGAAGCCAACCCATAACTGTCTGTTCATGTTAAAATATTACACTCGCTCTCCAGTTTATGAACTTTATTCTATTCTCTACCCGCTTTAAATTCGTAATTTTGAAATGGAAAATAAAGCAATCTTGTCCTTGGGCTTGACAGAAATGTCAGGGCTTACAATAAGAATTATATATTCATTATTCAAGCTATTGGCGCCACTCTTTTTATATATATATTGCAAAACATGAACAAATTTGCAGATTTTCCTTTTTGGGTTTTCGAAAATTTTGATAAGGAATATTATTATTTTAATATCCAGCCCAAAAATTAAAATATAATTTCACTTATAAATCTCAAGTTTTCCTTATTCCGGAAACTCTAAAAAAAAGGTGCTGCTGGGGTTAAGAGTTTTAAAGATTTTTTGCTTTGTAACTCATGTATGATGAAAAATGAATAAGTAAATGTACAGTGTACACTGCTCACAGTACAGCACTCTGTGTCCTAGAATGTATGTTACAGGGATTGCGAGCGTAATTTCAAGGGATCCACCCTGCAGAGATGGCAATGCCCGATTTACAACTAAAACTTTAAATCTTATTAAAAAAGTGGAAGATACCGTCGTTCAGACTCGAAAAGTGTTTATTTCTGTGAGTTTCTCCATTGCTTCTAATAACAGAAATGCGCAAGTCACTTTTCGCTGGGAAACCGCAAATGAAAAAAAAACAGTTTAAGGAACAACAACATTGATATCTAATTTATTCTTGATCAGATAAAGCGTTCAAGGGTTGTAAATCGGACCTTGCCATCTTTGCATGAAGGTTCACTTAAAATTACGCTTACAGTCCCTTTAAACCTGCTTGTGTGTTCCTCTTCATTGGTTTGGTTGGTGTGAGGGGGTGTTGAAGTTAGATTAAATAGGAAATGAGTTTGTATGCTCGACTCATTGCAAACACATTAAATACAACTCTATTCACAGAGGACCGGTCAATGGGAAGACTTCCATAGAAACCCAAGGGTCCACAAAAATTCAGGGTTATTTATTTTTCGTGAGATTATTTCAGGGGTGTATATAGTTGTGAGATTCATATTTTTGCCCCCCCCCCCTTTCAGAATCATATTTTCCCCCAAATCCACACAATAAAAACAGGTATTTTAGTAATTCAATGGAGCGTTTTGGTGCCCTATAAAGTTCAACATCAAGGTCCCTTCTGATTTTTTTTTAAATTTCTGATACTGTTTTTTTAATATGTGGGCACTTTGCAATTTGAGGATCAATTCTTAATCCCTCAATTGAAGTTCTCCCTTCAGGATATGACCATCACGGGATAACAAAGAGGAATTTAATTAATCAATGGGTCTGCAATCTGCATAAGATGGATATAAATGCCTGATTCAGTGATTCACAATTCAAAAATCTTAAAAATAGTTGATCATAAAAGAAAAGTAAAGAAGGACGGATAGGAAAGGATGGATTGGATACATGTTGTATTTGGCACTCTGTATCTGTATACAATATACAATATACAAAATACAAAATACAAAATACAATATACAATATACAATATACAATATACAATATACAATATACAATGTACAATGTACAATGTACAATGTACAATGTACAATGTACAATGTACAATGTACAATGTACAATGTACAATGTACAATGTAAAATGTACAATGTACAATGTACAATGTACAATGTACAATGTACAATGTACAATGTACAATGTACAATATACAATGTACAATATACAATTTACATCTAGGTTTGGTTTCATTTCTGCTTGGATCAAACTCTAGTTTGCCTAGTCTATTCTTCTATTATTGTAATTACTGGAACCGAATTTAATGAATTTGAGCTACGTCAATGAACTTTCTACTGCCAGTTCAAATTTGAACAACTGATCCAAAATTTAAGATTAAGAATCGGTGAATCGGTGATTCAAATTTGAACCCAGGGTCGGCAGTTCAAACTCATTAAATTCGGACTCTGGTAATGTATTCTTTCACTTATTTTTTTATGTACTAAGTTCTATTTGTTTAATTTATTTTTATTTTGGTTTGCTTCTGCTGCTTCTTGTCTCAGTGTTGTCTTTTAACCATTTTAATTCTTCATCATGAGAAAAGTTTTGACATTCATTATTACATTTGTTGAGGAAACTTTTTCATTGTATTTTTCATCTCTTTGGCCAGTTTTAGTTAATATTATGGGAGTAGAAAGTCATTTAGAGAAATAGGAGCATTGATTGGAATAGGAGAATATTTAGATGTAGCAGAATATCTGGGAATAGATAATTTAAATTTTAAAATTCAAGACGAAAACAATCAAAGCGCCACATTGCATATTATATCTTTATTTGTTTATATATACATATATATATATATCTATATATGTTCGATTGTTTCATTTTGTTCTATTCTATCTTGCTCTGCATAGAATACATAATTCTATGCTCTGGTATTGAGTACTCAGAGACATCAGAATCAATAATGTTGGTTCAAGGATACAAAAATGTACAGTGTAGATTAATATAAAATGTCGAGGGAAAATGCTGAAACGTTCTAATCTTTATATCTTTGAAACCTAATGTCAAATACTTATTAGTTTTGACATTTCATGCCATTAATTAATTAATTAATTACTTATGCTAGATTTATTTGTGAAAAGTTTGAAAAAATGTTCACCATCAGATGCAAAGATTTAGGAATTAGAAAATTAAAGTTTATTAAGATTTATCAGTTTATTTACAAATTAAGAAAATGTTTGACGGAAACCGTTATTTATCTGTCCTATATATTATTGACTTCTAGTTCTCTTAGTACTCCTCTCTTTGTTTGTTTTTAATCTTTAGTTTGGAGCCGCCAAACTAAACTAAATAAAACAAAAACAAAACTTTGCATCCAAATATATTATATGTATACACAAGACAAGAAAATCATTTTTCTGGGAAATTCTTGCTAAACCATATAATATTTCTTAGAAGATAGAATATAAATGGTACAAATGGCGCAACTATTGGGAGGTGGTAGAAGGAGTCACTTTAAGTATCTTGTAAACTGTTCATAGTGCGAACCCAAATTGACTAGAACTAGTTGGAGTATCCTGCGTTACCCAATTAAAAAAAAATAATGGGTTTTCTAATAAAAAAATATCAACAAAATTGGTCCAGCTGTTTGGCCAGCTATAATAACGCACACATGTTTATATGAGCAAAGACCTTAATTAAATAGATTAACCTTCCCTTTGATCATGGGAGGCCCTGCAACAAATTGGGTCCGATCGGTTCAGCCGTTTTGTCGCCTATTTTATGTGAATAAACAGCGTAAATATTTATAATCCTGGTTTGAGAAAAAAGGGTTCAAGAAGGTTGCAAGAAATATAAAATAATTAATGGTTTTGACAGTTGTCAGCAAGTGTAATTTATAAAAAATATTATATTAGAATTGATAATATTATTTTTTAGGACGGATTGTCTTCCGGCCACGCCTCAGATCTAGAGGAGGAGGGTTCAGGATCATTTTTAGGGAACGCCCCTTTACCCGCCCATCACAATCATTCAAGTGCCCTTACGCAGCTGAAGCTAGATTCAGCGCATTCTTGTGTCAGGTTAAATATTAATATTAATAAAGGGACAGTTTTCATATTTCGAGAAAATAGCAATTAACAATTAACATTGCAATATTTATTTAATATTAGTTTTACTCAGCGACATGTATCTGGAGCCGTTGTGGTTTTTATTAAATAAGATTTGAACTCACAAAGTTAGTTTATCAAAGAACTTTTAATTTCATGCAAAGATGGCAATGTCTACAGAAATGACTTGCGCACTGCAAGAAAATATATAAAAGTTGTGAATTAGGAATTGATATCTTTGCGTGAAGGATCACATGAAATTACACTTACAGTCCCATAAAGTCCTCTAAAATGGTGGAAGGATTTTTTATTAATAATAAAAATCTATCAACTAAATCCAATATTTTTTATTTGTAAAACTTGAATAATATATAATTTAAACATGTTGTTTTGGTAGTTTCCTTTTTGCTGAGATATCTACTAAACCATTAACATTTATAAAATATATTTCTTTTGTAAAAAATCCAACTTTACTTTCTTCCGATATCCATTACATTTGGGGAATTGAAAAATAGTTTTTGTGGTTTACACTGTGGTGTACACTGTACACTGTACTCTGTACACTGTACATTGTACTCTGTACACTGTAACTGTACACTGCACACTGTACACTGTACACAGTACACTGTGCAATTATTCATTAGATAAATAATTATTTTCATATTATAGAGATGGTAACAGTATTTACAGTTGGGATAAACAATCTAGGCACATTATTTTATTTATTTATTGATGTTCAACAACGCGTTAAAGGGCATTTTACTCGTCTGAATCCTTAAATCCTATATAAACTTAATATTCCTTCTAAAATTTAGCGTCTTCGAATCAAGAATCCTTAAACCCCTCTGCATCACTTCAAACTATGTCACAAACCAGCTCATGCAGAATGCAATTTTGAACTCATCCATAATTAAATCATCCAGCATTGGCTCATCCAGTATGTATTCTTTAAGTCATCCAACATTTACTCTTTAAATTGTCACATTGCATTCTCATTGTTCATCTGGCATGCATTATTTTATTCATCATACATGCATTCTTTGTGTCATTCAGCATGACTTTGTGATTGGGAAAATACATTTGGGGAAGTACTCACCTTTTATTGGGAGAGTATTTTTGGTAAAGTACTCACCTTTTATTGGGAGAGTATTTTTGGTAAAGTACTCAACTTTTATTGGGAGAGTATTTTTGGTAAAGTACTCACCTTTTATTGGGAGAGTATTTATGGTAAAGTACTCAACTTTTATTGGGAGAGTATTTTTGGTAAAGTACTCACCTTTTATTGGGAAAGTATTTTTGGTAAAGTACTCAACTTATATTGAGAGAGTATTTTTTGGTAAAGTATTCAACTTATATTGGGAGAGTATTTTTGGTAATTTACTCACTTTTGAATTAGTGGAGTTTACTTTGGGAAATTACTCAAATTTCTTTTGATAAAGTATTCAACTGTGATTGGGAAAAATTATTTGGGAAGTACTGAACATTTATTGGGAATTAATGAACTTTGTTGGTAGAAGATCTTTAGCATATAATTTCAATTATTCCATCTCTTGTCAATGTACATTGCACATTGCAACTGGAAATATCATTTTTGTATCAATATACTCTTCCTGCTTCAATTTATTTCATAAACAGAAAAACATGTTTTATTAAGTTTTTTTATGTATTCCACTGTTCCACGCTGATGTAGTTCCATTCAAATCACTTTAGTTTTATATTTAATCTGAGCCCGCGATTTAAAAACTTCGTCTCAAGTCGTAATTCCTTAAACCCGACTTTGAGACCCAATCTTCAACCCAACTCTGACGACAGCTTGTGTCACGTGATTGACAGCTGCAAGATCTTCGGCTCGACTTAGGCCCAATGAAAATAAAACGGACATTGGTTGGTTTTAGTGGAGAATAAGACTCAATATTGAGTATTGTTCTCATTAAAACCCGGAATTCGTCAATTCCTATCATGAAATTCCGCAAATAGAATATTAAACCGGTTTTTTGAACTCAACTATGTGGAAAATAAGATGCAGCTTGGATCCGAAAGCTAAAGCCGTAAATAAGGCCCAACGACCGCGACAGCTTAAACCCGAGCCGTATTTTCTTAAATTTTTTTAATCGCGGGCACTGTTAAAATTAAATAAAACGAAAAGAAATTAAAACTTATATATTCTGACGTTTGGATCGTTTTTTTAATCAAAATGTATTCATTTCCTATGAATGAACATAACTTCTACCAAATAAATCATATTTTTAACTCCTACAATTCGGTGTGTATAATTTGTTATGAGGAAAGAGAATCTACTCCCTTATTAAAAGTCTAATATGATAATGTTTGTTAGAGAACTAAATCCAAACAATCGGGAACACAGTTCTCAGAACAACAAGGAACCATTCATGCAATTTTTTTCCTATTCTTATCGAATCTTATCGATTCAATTATGAATTGTCGTCTTAATTAATACATCTAGACTTGACTTAACTTAACTTAAACTTGATATTTATTTTCATGAAGCTTATTAAACTATTAATAAAATTTGTTAATGAAAGACAAAAATGATTTACTCTAGAAAAATTAAGGTTCAGCTATTGGAGCGCACTGTATTAATTAGATTGACGATTGATAGGCAAAGAAATTATCTATTTGTTGGTTTATCAAGATTCATTAAATTAAATATTGGACCCATCTTAGAACGGCCGCTAAGGAACCTCCCCCCCCCCCCCAAATGTGTATGCAATATCGCGAGATTTTATTTAATATTTTAGGGTTAGGTTAGGTTCAGACGTTTTCTGGACCGAGCGATGCGGCAAGGAGAGGCTAGGGGCCGCAGGTGGGGGGGGGGGGCCTTCCAAATCACTCACTCTCATAAAAATCCTAGAATTTGATTAAACTGAATGGTTCTACTAGAACTACATGAACACCAAGGTGTACCGGGAGTCCCGGAATCAGGAGCAGGTTGTCCAGGACCTAGACCTGAGGGAGGAGAACAAGGAAAACAGCGTTCTACAGGAGGAACAACCTGGATACAGAGAGGAGAAGTTTCCTGACGAGAAAACCAAAGAAATTCGTGATATCAGCACTTACACTCATTCAGGACCCATCCAGGGACAGTTAAACTCCAACCTGGTCGGGGGGTTGAATCCGAACCCTAATCCGGGGCTAAAGAGTCCTGTATACACTAGAGATAGCTCGACTCAGCCCATGCTACAAGGAACAAAACACGTTTAAAAACAGAAACTGGAGACAGTAATCATTAATTATTGATTGAGTTAATCATGCAATTGCGAAGCCGCAATTAGAGAAAGGAGAGTTTATACTTTTTGCGACGTTTATGGAGAGTTTTGTATTATCTTTAGAAGGATTTGTGGGGGGGGGGGGGGTTCTTTCGTTTTGGTAAACCTTTGTACCTTAAAGTGTTAATAAAAGAATTAAGAAACATGCAAGAGGGAGATCGAATAGGGAATATGTTATAAGGCACAAAGGCCGCCTTTACCTTAAGTTGTCATAAAAGAGTTAATTTTTGTTATTCTTTACTTCAAAAGACTCTCATGATCAGCAGTTTTATTGTACATAGAATTTAGAATTTTTAGTGTCGTCAGGTTGCTTTGCGATGCAACTGAATTCTAAGTCACCTCATTCTATACAGTTGGACTAGTAGGGACAAGATATATATGTATATATAGACAGATAGATTGATAAGCAAACATTCTAATGACCAGATTTGCCCAGCAAATATTGGCCGTGTTTAATGGCAAAAGCAGTAGGACAGACAAGAAACAAAATGGCAATACCAACAACAGAGGATATATGATAGATATGGGATAAAATTGCCAACAGATGGATGAATAGAATAATATTAGACAAGTAATAGTTTAACTATTGAACAGGGGACATGATAAGCTAGACAATGGATAAAATAAACTATCAAGTAAATCATCAAAGAACCGTTAATTGAGACTGTTTGTATACTTGATGAATATTTGTTTTGTTGTGAGCAGATATATACCCTAACGGTCAGCCTGCTCTACCACAGGTATTTATGCTTACTTGATACGGGGTGAACCAGAAAATATGAACATTTGGTGACTGGTTAATGACGTTTTTTCTTGACGCGGCATTTTGTCGTAAAAATAATCACCGGCAAACACTTTGTATATTTAGAATTAGTGAATCAAATTTTCATTTTATTAAAATAAAATAAAAACTTCTAAGATACAAATGCAAGACTTCATTTTGAAAAATGATGTTATTTTGATACAATGACATTTATTAATAATTCAAAATTAAAGTCGTCACTAAGTTTCATGATTATTGGGACACCCTGTTTTCTAAATAAACGATTTACAACCTTGCTTTTATTATTAAAAATGGAAATATCTACGTTTTTCAACCGGCTAGATTTCCTCAGAATAGACGAGTGAGAAATCAATATCATCTATCAGCAAATATTGAGTTTACGGGTTCATACAGGCAGTGGCGTAAATAAAATTTTTAGAAAGGTTTACAAAAACGAATTTTGAAACTTTATTTTGTCTTATTTTATTTTCGGATCCACGGACAGTATTGACAGTATTGGGAGTTCATTTTTCTTTTTATAGACATGAGTTTAGTGTCCGAATTTAATGAAATTTAGCTGCGTCTTAAATCCCCCAAAAACCGGTTTCAATTGAGTGCCGGCTTAAATCTTGAAAAATTGAATACAATTCTAAGTGGAACCAACCATATTTGAGCCTCGGCTTAAATTTTTTAAATTCAGCCTTAGATCGGATTTTATTGATAATTGACCATTAAGCTGGAGCAACTTTTGAAATAAAAAAACTAGCGAACACTAATTGTTTAAGATTTCTTCGTAAGATTTATGAATGAATGCCAAAAAGTTTCAATTATTGCATCTCCGACTTAAAAAAAACTGTATACCAATGATGGACAAATATAATGGTTTAATAGGTTTTCTAACCTTGGTTGTTCGTCATACTTCCTTTTCAGACGAAACCTTTAAAATAAGTTATCTCTTGGAAAAGTTTAATTTTGTTGAAAACTTAAAATTCAAGATAGATTTTTTAATCCTGGCCTATCTTGTGTTTCCATTAAGTTTTTCTGGATAATCCGTTGGAGTTCTTTTTATACGCACTTTTTATAATTTTTTCATTTTCTATATTCATAATAGAACGTCGGATCAATCCCTGGATCAACTTATTTTTTATTTTATATTTTTTATCCTTTTTTGTCATTCAAGATTTTGTCTTCGAATTTTACGTGACCCTCAAATTGAAGTGGGGCGTGGGTGATTCACAAACCTCTTCCTTGGAAATTGTTTCATATCTAGAAATTTATCATTTCCTGTTGTGCTATCCCTTTAAAATTAACTTGCTGATTTATGTAGTAGAGACAATCAAGGAAATTGTTAGAATTTAACACTTGAAAAATTACGATGATCTTTGTTATTAATAGAAATTGATCATTTCATATTGTGTCATTCATCCCTGTAAAATTAACTTGTTGATTTCTGTAGTAGAGACAATCAAGAAAATTGTCAGAATTTATCTGTTTTGAAGGTTGAAAAACTAGATGATATTCCTATTCATTGCTCGGATAATGAATCAAAGGGTACAGTTGTAAATTGGGGTCATTTGAAAAAAACTTTTAACAGTCCCTTTGTACAAGATTTAATTCTTTGAATATTTGTAGTTTCGAAGTAGAGGTGTAGATCCCCATGAGGGCCGTTTGTCCCAAGAAATCAGTTCCAACAGGATGTCCCAAGAAATCCCCTCCCATCGTATATCCCAAGCGCTAGAGTTCTCTAGTAAAGTTTGTGAACCATCTATTAGAAAGTCTGGTCTCTCTCCTCTCTCCTCTCCAGGTTGGTTTAATCATAGAGAATAGAATATATAGAGAGGAATTAACTAGAAAAAAGTGTAAAACGGCCATTTTGTTGTACTGTTTCCATACTGCAGGTGTACTTCACATATTTATGCTATATAACCTGTTGGCCCCTGGAATATCATTTTATAGAAAATCTAAAATTATTGTTAAAAGAAAACCAAATTATGAAATAGGCTGGTTTCATAATTGACCAATTTCACATAGACTCTATGCCTTCCACTTTACAAACGATGATTTTCCGTTATAACTATAAATCATATGATGTTTTTTATTCACCTAATTCATTATAAAGTTTATTTAACAGTTTAAAAAATTCGAAATTGAAATGAATAGTCTAGGGAACATACTGTATTAATGTAGTCTACTGCATATAATTTGTGAACATTTACATGATTTGTACACTTTGAACTCCCTTTCAGGCTGAAAGGGACTGAAAAAAATCATACCGAGAGATTCTTTTAATTCCTCTCTATATATTCTATTCTCTATGGGTTTAATAAATATATAAAGTTTAATCTCTGTTTGTCTGCTTGTTTGTGTGTCCGATCATAACTCATGAACCCCTGGACCGATTTGCCTCAAATTTTGATTGGGGAACTCGGGAGAACCACGGGAATGTTCTTGGCTTGTTAGTTTTTTTACTAATATTTCCCTCAAAGAAAAAAAATGACTCATTTGATTATATTTTTTGGTCAGATTTTCAAAATTTTACTTAGATGGTTATAAAATATATCGGTATTTGTAAACAATTCTTTTATAAAATAAAAATTGGCTAAAAATTGTCACAGCACTAGATTTTCTAGACTATTTTCAATATACTTACGACTAGTTTCTAGTCATGTACTTTTTTCAATTCAATACGTTCTATTTATTTGATGAAACAAGCGTTTTTGATTGTAAGATCTAGGAGACGACGGGTTGGGGAAGGGGGGGCATCTAATTAAAAAGATTGATGATGGCTTTCTCCTAAAATACTTAGTGTTTACACTGTTTTCTAATATGAATAGATATATCAATTACTAATGCTTTAGAAGACCTGTATAGTGTATACTGTATTAATGTTTCAAAGACCTGTATACTACACTAATCTTTTAAAAGACCTGTATCCTATACTAATGCTTTTAAAGACATGTATACTATACTAATGTTTTTAAAGACCTGTATACTATACTAATGCTTTTAAAGACCTGTATACTATACTAATGTGTTAAAAGACCTGTATACTATACTAATGTTTAAAGACCTGTATACTATACTAATGTTTAAAGACCTGTATACTATACTAATGCTTTTAAAGACCTGTATACTATACTAATGTTTAAAGACCTGTATACTATACTAATGTTTTAATGACCTGTATACTATACTAATGCTTTAAAAAGGCCTGTATACTATACTAATGTTTTAAAGACCTGTATACTATACTAATGCTTTTAAAGGCCTGTATGTATTTAGTTCACACTACACACATACTTCAGTAGATTCAATATTTATGGATTTGAAATATTTTGTAAGGATATTTGAGTTTATACCTTGCATGGTTTATTTTGTTATTTTTGTATACAGAAATCTTAACAAAAACCTACAACTTACTTTCCACTAAATTATATGATACATGGGACAAGGTTTAATGAAAAGCTAGACAAAGCTGAACCGCACAGACGTAGTTCAACTTTACGTCTTATGTGCGACCGTTCAAACTGGAGAGAAGTGGTTGAACCACTTTTACACGATTCAATCCATGTCTTGCTACTCATTAAGCTTCATACCTGGCAAAGATGTCGCATCTGGATCGCTATTGAGCTGTTATTTACTTCTTACGTGATTTTAAACTTTTCAGAATATAATAAAAATCTTTTAATATATTTTTTATACTTTTGTATAAGCAAAAAAAATGTGTGAAATATTGTGTTCTTTTCAGTTTATTTCGCACAAAACAATTTCGTGCTAAATCTCATGTATTACTGTTTAGTACAGTGATAACCAGAGAACTACAGAATAGGAAGACGACATTATAGTAATATAAAAGTGCATTTGATGTTGTTAAAAAGCAAATGCCTTTACTAGTAAGTTATCAAATCACCCGTTTAGTGAAATGGGTCTGTTTACACTGCACAGTTGCTGTGTCTTATGTTTATTGGACTATTTAAAGTCAGAACTTGAGTTTAAAAGTCGACTTCCTATTCCAGAGTTTTTTAGTTATCTCTGTATGATGCAGTTCTGGACTTGGTAGTATTTTATATTTACTATTGTACAGTTTATTGTGTACTGTACACTGTACATGATTTAAAGTAGTTTTATTCTTTTAGGTTTATGTGGGGCTCGGACACCCCCCTCTCCAGCCCCATCCTCTCCATCTAACTCATCCTCTCCGCCACAATCCAATCCATCCGCCATCCCATCTGGATCTCCGCCCCGCTCCGCCGTCCAGGCAGCTATAAAGGACATAAGAAAGGTATTTTGAGCTATTACATTTTAAAATGTTTTCAACAAGCCACACAATGCCACATATTGAACCATAAAAAGATTGTTTTCTTGATTTTATAAGAAATAAATTATGTTGAAACACCTATGCAGTATGCAATATGTTTTCACTGTTTTTTATATTTGTGTTTTCCCTTTATAATTTCAAGTCTCGACTTGTTTCATAAAAAATCATGCAAGACTATTCCGATTCTTATAAATATTAAAGTCATTCTTGAAGTTGCTACTTGTAAATAAGTTGTCATAGTAATTATTTGATGATAATGATGATAATTATTAATATTGGTAATTAAAAGCTAAACAGTCTAGTATTTATCTACCATTTTGACCTTTTTAAGAACACCCACAATCCTCTTATGCATAAAAAGATGACCTCTGTGCCTCTATTCCTCTATTTTCTAGGCAATTCAATCAACCAAGACCCTGGATCCAACAGGTTGTCCTCCTCCTCCTCCTGATCCCTGGGTTCCTAGAACTAGTTCCTCTCCTAGTCCTCCAGCATCACCTACACCTCCTCCTCCTCCTCTAGAACTCAAGGATGAGACGGAGAGTGAACTGGATGAGGAGGAGAGAGTTCCTACTCCGGAGATATTGAAACGGGATGAAGATGAATTAGATACAGATCAGGTAGATGCAGATACAGATCATGTTGATACAGATACAGATCATGTTGATACAGATACAGATCAGGTAGATACAGACACAAATCAGGTAGATACAGATACATATCAGGTAGATACAGATACAGATCCTGTTGATGCAATTACAGATCAGGTAGATACAGATACAGATCAGGTTGATACAGATACAGATCAGGTTGATACAGATACAGATCCTGTTGATGCAAATACAGATCAGGTAGATACAGATACAGGTCAAGTAGATACAGATCATGTTGATACAGATACAGATCAAGTAGATACAGATACAGATCAGATAGATACAGATACAGGTCAAGTAGATAGAGATACAGATCAGGTTGATACAGATACAGATCAATTAGATACAGATACAGATCAGGTAGATACATATACAGGTCAAGTAGATACAGATACAGATCAGGTTGATACAGATCAAGTAGATACAGATACAGATCAGGTTGATACAGATATAGATCAAGTAGATACAGATACAGATCAGGTTGATATAGATACAGATCAGGTAGATACAGATACAGATCAAGTAGATACAGATACAGATCAGGTTGATACAGATACAGATCAGGTAAAGATACAGGTCCAGATACAGGTCAGATACAGGTCAAGTAGATACAGATACAGATCAAATAGATACAGTCACAGAGACAAAAAAACTTGAAATTGTTAGTTTTACGAGAAATCATTTTTGTTAGATTTGATTTTCAGGCGTTTTAAACGTGAATTTATCTTAAAATTGAAGAAAGCTTTTTGCAAGTAATTCAAATTTCTCATTTTTTCCTTCCAAGAAAACGGAATAATATTGCTTTTAATATTTTCCTTTATCACAGCATCTCATATTCTTATCCCCGGGCCACACCCGGGAATATGCAGATTAAAAACAACCCAAAAATATCAAAGATAAAAAAGGTTATTTCAAAAATTCCGAAATATTTTAATAAAGTTTTTACTAAATCTAAAATGTACGGATTAGAAGACCTTGCATTAAAATTAGTTACAAACTGGGTTTTTTATTCAAAATTGGGTTATTTGATATATTTAATTTTCTTTAATTAAAATCTTTTTCTTAATGTTAAATTTTAACCTTTAAAAATCTTGGGTTGTTTCTGACGATCGTTATTTTCCAAAATGTTGAATATCATAATCGTCTGTAGGAATTAAGCCCGTTTTAGCATTAGATGTGAATTAAAACCTGCATGGTATGATAACAATATTTTTTTATTTACGCGGTGCAGTTGGTTTCTAGCTGTTGATTTTGTCCAAATTCAATAAAGATTTTGTTGGTATATATGACTTGCAAATAAGTTTTTTTACTTCAATCAAAACCAGCCAGTAAAGGGCAGAAACTTTTGATTTAGAGCAAAAGGCAATGGTTGCACAAAATTAGTTTTTACATCGGATCAACTTTGCCCTGATTCCAGAGAGTTTGTGTATTTTGATGTTACTTTAATCTTAAACCATTTTAATTACATTTTTCTAGATTTTAAATATTCATAAGAGCCCAGGAAAAATTTAATATTTTTCAAAATCTTCGATTTAATAAAACAAGACATTCATATATATATATATATATATATATATATATTTATGTTGCCTATAGCCGGCCAAACGGCTGGACCGAATGGGCTGAAATTTGTTGTGGACACTTATGGGTGGCCGGGGGGTGTTTTTAGGCTAATAAAAAAAATTTTCTCCACAGGCAACGCCGTGCCCTTCAGCTAGTTATAAAATCTTCCCACATTGATGGTTCCAGTGTTGTGCTTTAGTTTTTCTCCCTGTAATATTTCACCCCTCCCCCTTAAAGTTTTAACCATTTTCCCCTAATATTAGTCATGGAAAGCAATGTTTTCAATGCAATTTAGTGGTAGAAAAGCATTTATAAGTAACAGGTTTCGAATAGAGATTATTGTCTGAAAGTTTGAAGAAAAAAACATTGAGGCTCGTTCACTTTGCCCCCCCCCCCCCCCTATTCATAATAATACAGCTTTAGTGGGATGGGAAGAATATCGCAAGGGGGGGGGGGAATAGATGCTGAACGCCGGTTGTGTTAACAGTACACTACGTCATTGTGTTTGTTTACAGGAAACTGACCGACTGCTGGGACAGCAGTACACTGACCCTGAAACCAGAAACAACAAGGTAAACAATAATAATAAACATAATTTTTATGATGCATTTATAATCCTTTATTTTTAAGTAATTGCGTCATAAATGTTAGGGAAGTATTTGTAATTTTGTACGGGGTCCATGTTGATAAAAAAGGAAATCAAAGATTTTTTTTAAAAGTTACAATATTTTTTTTAGAAAATTTATGTTCATTGTTTAAACCTTGTTTTTTGATTTGCATGCCCTAAATTCTACTAGTCTGTAAATATGCTGTTAAAACTTTAGTTTTTTATCAATGTTTTCCGTAAACTTACTTTCCACCACCAAACTTCTGGAAAGATTTAGATTCTTTCGCAGATTTTCTAATGATTTTGTAAGATAAAAAGTTGAAAATTGTCAATTTTGATATTTGAGTTTAAAATATTGTCACAGCTCTAACTTTTTCAGCATTTGAAAAAGAAATTGATTAACGGAGGTGTGGGGGGTAGATCCTACCCACCCCTTGCCACTTCAAACCATTCGGAAACTAATTGTCCAGCCTGTCTAGCTGCCCAGCAGGTAGATGTACAGTGTACAGGATACTGTACATACTGTACAATGTACACTTGGTTGCACCTAGACAAATTTGCACAGTACACTCAGATTAATTCACTTCGTTTATAGAACAGATATTTTTCTTTATTCACGAGTTAATAACCGTAACATTTTTGGCACACTTAACTGGTTTTGTTTATATGTCTGCACTGATATTGACATTTTTAAATAACGGGAATTAAGTTTTTTTTTCTTTCTTGCCTCAGTTTTAGACCAATATAGGATGTTTTCTAACGAGTTATTTAAGATAACTTGGTTACCCAAAATGAATAAATATTTTGATGCATGTTAAATTATATTTCTGCTGACTGGCCGATATATCATATAAAAACTAAAACTCCCCATTTTAAACTTCACGTTTATCAAAAAATCTTTATATTCCATGATATCCCACCACTTTAGTTAGACATTTTTAAAGTATAGATTTAGGAAATCTAACGAGGTCCACGACATGTCATATTAAATCTTATAATTTTCACAACCCCATGTATTCAACATTGATTTGCTTGCTCCGTATTAATTCTAAAAATTCTATAATATTTTATAAACGTCTGGCACATTTTTAGATTTTTTAGTTTTTCATGACAAAAAATTCATTTTATCTATTTTAATTTAATTGTTTCATTTTAGTAGGCAAGATAAAATTTTGTTGGATTAACTTATAATTTCTAAGATCTATAGGGTGAGTCAAAAAAAGTAACAGCGTATGTTTAATATTTTAGAATATACCAAGAAGAAAGGAACTAGAGAATTTAAATAACTTTTCCTTAAAAATTAGACCAGAACTAAAAATTGCGAATTTTCTTACCACAATTTTGCGAATTTTCTGTGATTCTGTGATTCAATCTTTTTAAGATTTTAGATTTCGATAGAAATAATTTATATACACATTTTTGCTTTACTCAACTTTTGATTTTGAGAGAAAAAAGGTTCGCTGCGTTCGGAGTTTCAAAAAAATAATGAAAAAAATGAAAAAACACCATACAGCAGAGTTGCACAAAAAAGGTACAATTTTGCACCAGGCGCCGCAAATCACACTTTTTTGACTTACCCTGTATATATTTGAAATATCAAACAGAGTTTGATATTATTTCTCCAGGGTTTTAGTGTTGGCCCACACGAACAGTATGGAAAAAATTCAAGAATTTACATTTTGCACTGTGTCTGTATAATTTTCACTTTTTAGTTTCAAGCACTTTTATTTGAATGTTTAGATTTTAAATAGTTCTTGTTTTACCAAATATCATCTAGTAATTTTATTTCTGATGTCGAATACAATTTTATTTTCTTCATGGAAAATGTTCTCCTATTGAATGAAATATCCTTCTGCCCTCAGATTCTAAATTCTCAAACCTCTTTTCAGAAATCTATTCAAAGGACTTTGTAAAGATAAAGTTTTAAGCCTATAGATCTAGGAATTAAACTACAGGTCAAACAATTTTATTTATTTTACTTTTTGGGAATCCATCTTTTTTAGCTGAACTTCCACAGGGGTGGGGGATTCTTCCACAGGGGTGGGGTATTCTTCCACAGGGGTGGGGGATTTTCCTATTTTATCAAGAGACTTTTCTTAGAAAAGAAAAAAAATCCGGAAAGTTTTCAGAACAAAAAATATAAAAAATGTTGTTGGAATTTTTTTATCTAAAAGTATTACTTTAGTTTGAATTAGTAATCTTTTTAACTAGGATACTGATAAAATAACATTACATAACTTTGTTGCAAACCAAATTACAAGGTGCGTCTAGATGTCTTTTTATTCGGAACTTGAAATTTGGCTTCGCTCACAGTGGAGAATTGATTATAAGGGCCTGTATGATATTCCATTTGGACACAGATTACGTTATTACATCTTACTGTGAAATTCGTGATAATTTTTTTACATTTTTCCTGGATCAAAGGTTCTCTTATTCTTGCCGCAACAATTTTAGTTTTTTTTCTAAAAATTATCTGTTCAGTGTAAAGCTTCTGAATGCATTGTATTGTGTGTTGAAAACAATATTTCATCAAAATGTACTCTGGTGGAAACTGGAAATCCAATAATAATAATAATAATAAAAGATAAAAGGTAAAAGATAAAATGTAAAAAATCTCCCCAAAACTACATTATAGTAGTCTGTAGCTTAAATCAAATTTACAAAAGCCTGGGCGTATAAGGATCTAATGGGAGGGGGACTTGATTTAAATTAGCTTTTTCTAGAGGAAATGATAAACTTCCCCATCCTTTCCTTCTCAACAAAAATAAGTTAAAAGGGGATGGTGGAGTTGGCACATTTGATGTAGGGGGGGGGGGGCTGCCTTCATTTTTGGTTCAAATCTTCCAATTTTTTGGGTGCACGCCTAATTAGTGATCGAAATTCCTAAAATAAAATCAAATTGAATTTTAATGACCTCTAATGACCTCTAATGACCTC